TGGTCTCCGCAGTCGCCGCTCGCATTAAATGCGCGCGTCACACCAACTCCGACCGCCGGCGACTCTCAGACCGCGTTGACTCGCAAACCCCGGGAAAACCGCGGCGCTGACGGCCTCATACGACGTTACCCAGTGCCCCGTAGTCAAACCCGGCGAATGCTTGCCCACAGCAAGCATTTTCGGCCGTTGGCGACCCTCCAAAAACATATATCGGAGGGTTCGCTGGTGTTTAGTATCTGCTTACTAAACTTGTGATTGGTTGCCGTTGCATTCCTGAGTTTTTAGGCTTAGTACGCCCTAATATCCTATGTTCATTCGTAGCCGTTCGATTCAGGTTTGAGGTCCGATTATCGACGGTACGATTTGCGAGTTAGAAGTCGAGTTTTATCGCCCATATCGACGGTAGGATGCGTGTTCCGAGGTGGTCCAAAGTTAAAGTGACCGTTGATTTGAGGTATCGATGGTTCGGTACCAATTTTCGAGTGTACCAATCTGAGTCAGCCGTTAGATCGAGTATCGACGGGTTAGAGAAATTGGTACAAAGTGTGCCAAAGTCACATGTTCCTCATTAGTAGGAGTGGAACAATTTCGGTGAACGGTGGATCGGAACCTCGCCTCATATAGGCCGTGGATTAGAAGGTAGGGTCGGAACCCGTGGTAGGCTTGCTAATTCCAAGGCCTAGCTATGACCTTGAACAATATTACGTTGTGTGCACTCATTTCGAATTGTTTTGCTTCCTTGAAAGGCGCTTGCTTTCAACACGAAGCACCTCACAAGTGGCTTCCTCCTCTCCATAACCTTTTTTTAGAATGATCCAATGATGTACTACAATAGTATTCCTCTCCACTATTTGTCGCACGGGTCTCTCCCGTCCCACTAGGGTTACTAGCCTACTAGGGTTACTAGCCTAAGTCACACACTACTAGGCTCACTAGCCTAGCTCACGGTCACACTCAATGTTAGCCTTCGATGTACTCATCTACGGTCTACACTGGCGGCCGCTCTCAACCGCCTAACAGTTCAATCGTCCAACCGATGTACACGCACGCCGGCGCTCATTGGTCCGAACTCTAACTCGGGCCGAACCCTGACACACAGGAATTTGGCTGACTATATCACCGAATTCTAACACTCCCTACTCAGACAAATTACTCGAAGCCTCTAACTCGTCGTGCTCCTCTTGCGGGCTGTCTTCTTCGCCATTGGCGTCATCCACACGCCTCTAATGTCGCAATCGTCGCCTTTCTCCGTCAACGTCTTCTCCACCCCGTACTCCAGCTCTTCGGCTCCCACGGCTTCCGTTGCTGCTCCCACGTTTGCGCGTACCACTCTGCGGGCTCCCGTTGCACCCTCGCGGGATAGATTTCCAACTCTTGGGACTCCATTACGAGCTCCTCCGTGGCGTTTTCCGCACCAAAAAGCTTGCTTTCTACCGCCGTCTCTGGGCTCTCTCCTTGCCCTTAACAATCTTCTCGAACACTCCCACAACTTTGCGCACACTTCCGCAATCCGCCCACGTTGGCCCCCTTCTTGATATGAGCGCGCGGTGCGGCGCGGCCGCGGCGCGGCACGGCCACGGTCCGTCGCGGGCGCGGGCGCGACTCCTTCGCGCATCATTTCATTGAACTCCGCCCCTTTTTCGACCATTTTTGATCCTCGTCCGCCCCCGCTAAAGTTCCCCACTTTCGTTCGACGCCCCCATTTACGTCGTCCGAATCGTCTCGGTCGATCTCCACGACCTTCACCGTCTTTTTCACCATGCTTCCGCTCTTACCGGCCTTTTTGCCGCGGCGCACGCCCGGTTGTTCTTGACCGGTTCCCTCAAGAAATGCTCTCTGCTTCCCCACGGTTTCAACGTCCCACAGTCCTCCACGCTTGACTACCTCCATACGGACCACATTGTCCGTCTTGATCTGCGCGGTTCTCCCGCCGAGCACCACTCGTGCTTTCGCGTCAATTGCTCTAATTAGCGAGAAAAAACTCGCATGTGCCCTCGGAGCGTGCCGGACCTCTCTCACGGTTAGTGTACTCACACTGCTCGGGGTTTTACACTTGAGCTCCAGTTCTCCGACTCCCACCGCAATCTGAGGCTCACCACAATTCCCTATGACGTTCTCATCAGGCACAAGCTCTCTGTAGCTCGTGAATTGGCTCCGATTGGCCGTGACATGCTGAGTGCTGCCGAGTCGACAATCCACACCCCTTTGCGCACATCCCCGTCGTCGCCCCACTCCGTGAAGGCTACTCCGTATGCTTCCCCCACAAACTCTCCCTTCTCTGCGCGGCCACTTGCGCCCACGCTCTGCCTACACACTGACTCTGTGTGGCCCCTCTTAACGCACTTGCGACACTCGGCATCGCGCAACATGCACTTTGCCTTCACTTGGCCACCTTTGCCACAACAATAGCACTTTGGCGGGTTTGAGCACCCGCCTCTCACCTCCGAGCTCGTTTGAGATTCCCTGGCCCTTCGAGTAGCCCCTTTGCTTGGCGGCATACGCCACCGCTCCATATCCACCCGAAGTCTCCTCCAAGAACCCCGCTTTAGCCCTCGACTTTAGCTTCTGCTCTCTCTGCATTAGCTTTGGCTAGATCACCTCTACGGTTCTCTCCTTCTCCCCGAGCTTCAAAACTTTCACAAGAGTGGCATACTCTATTGCCAAACCCTCCAAGGCGTGCACGGCCAGCTCACCCTCTGAGACGGTTCGTCTCGCCGCCTCTAAATCTATCTTGAGCTCCCGAAAATCCCCTGAATACTCTACGCTGGCTTTCCCCTTGGTCAACCTCAGACTCATCAACTTCCTCCTAAGCTGAATCGTGCGCGCATTGCTCCTATTTTCAAAGTTGTCCAACTTTCTTGAACACTTTGGCTGCAGTGGGTTCACCCTCAATCAACTTTACATATGCATCTTCCGCGTGGATCAACATCAGCCCCCTTGCTTGGCTAGACACTTTTCTTCCTTCCAGGGACTCCGGCTCCTCCAATGCACACAGCCATCCTTTGTATGCAAGAAGCCCACGGAACTTGGCCTTCCACGTTGACCAGTTCTCACCATACAATTGCGGAAGAGACACCCTGTCGCCCGCCATCTTAACCACGCTCTCCCTTGAACAAATTAAGAAGCCAAATCCTCCGCTCCTTTTCCTCACAGGCTCGCCGGCGCAAGCATTCAAATTCTGGCCCTCCAGACATCCAAAATTGAATCTCTGCGCCCTCCTCACAACCAAGCGTTGTGGGCCCATAACCTGTTGAAACTCAAGGGAAGGGATCGTGGTGCGGTTGGAGTACTCATCATCGGGTCTTATCGTGTTGCCCGCCACCCATTAATCACTCACTGATGGCAGCAATGCACCCTAAGAAAAACGCACGAAGCGCCTCACAAGCGGCTTCCTTCTCTCCACCAACTTCTCTTGAAATGATGTTTCACTCCGCTATTGTTTTACGGGTCTCTCCCGTTCCACTAGGCTCACTAGCCTACTAGGCTTACTAGCCTAAGTCACACACTACTAGGCTCACTAGCCTAGCTCGCTGCCATCCTCAATCTTAGCCTCAGATATTCTCATCTACGGCTAATTGTTGAAACACAGTGTTGTTGGAAGTGATATTCAATCAATCAAGTTCACACAATGTATATGGAGTGTTCCGAGTCACGGCCTATCTTTAGGTCTACACTCTAGCCTAGTAGGCTCAGTGGACCGTCACCT